AACACCTCCAACATTACGCTGGTTTTGTCATGGACATTGAATTATGGTGTGCAAATGTAAGAAATATAATCTAAAAAAAAACCAACATATATTACCCGAACGTGATGTAACCTTACTCCACCAGCAGTTTACCTGGAGAGAGTTCCGGGGATCAACGCCCCCGCGGCCCGGTCTGTGACCAGGCCTCCTGGTGGATCAGAGCCTGATCAACCAGGAGGCCTGGTCACAGACCGGGCCGCGGGGGCGTTGACCCCCGGAACTCTCTCCAGGTAAACAGGGTAGACAGGGGACTGGTGCGCTTTTGTTTACATTCGATTCGTGATTGTTTTCGTTAGCTGATGGGCCCTGACGTGCTACACGTCCTAAATAAATGTAATATTTCTTTGTTAATATCTATATAAATAGCAAATCGTATAAAAATAACATTATGCTTGAATATATTCTGGAAAGAATGCTAGGATTTAAAAAGAAAATAATAATGTGTGATTTCTCAGGACCTGATCTTCTTACTAACCTCATATTTAACCAAGGATAACCTCAGTCAAAGTGACATTCCCACACATAATATGTATCTGTTCTTGTATGAAAATTCAAATCTAGATACACTTTACAGATTGCTGATGGCACCTGTCAACTGAGAAGGATGTTTCACTGTTTTAAATAAAAAAACTGAGTAGATCCACGGTGCACGGCTACCCTATTCTGAGTTACTTCATGAAATAAGAGCAAGTTATTTAAATGAATGCGTGATGTGAATAGTTGGCTATGACGTGTATGTATATATGTCGTGCCGAATAGGTAAAACTTGCAATTTTGGCTTAAATAGCAAAACTCTTCTTGCCGAATAAGGCATGCGAAAATTTGTGTATGCAATAATTTCGCAAAAAAAAAAAATCTGAACCTAACGAAAAATATATATTTCACTGTGTTTATTGATTATTAAATTATTGTAAACCTATCTAAAATATATTTAGCTGGATTAGGCTAAATTAAATTGAGCTTGTTATAATAAGGTTAGGTAAGTTTTCTAAGGTTCTTTTGGTACAAAATTATTAATTTTTACATTAACATAAATGAAAAAAAATATATCTTCAAATGTTTAAGATAAAATTTTAGAAAGAACTTAATTTTAAAAGTGTTCTTGCTAATTGACCAGTTTTATATATTCGGCACATTTTATATATATTATATAGGCAAAGAAGGGAATGTGCGAGAGTATAGTGGTACCAATACTTTTATATGGGTGTGAAACATGGGTTGCAAACGCTGCAGCGAGGATGAAGCTGGAGGCAGTGGAGATGTGTCTAAGGGCAATGTGTGTTGTAAATATTACGCAGAGAATTCGTAATGTGGAAATTAGGACGACGTGTGGAGGTTCTAAAAGTATTAGTCAGAGGGCTGTTGAGGTGGTCTAGTCATTTAGAGAGAATGGACCAAAGTAAAATAACTTAGCGTATAAATCTGTGAGGGAAGGAAGGTGAGTCCGGGGTTGTCCTCGAAAAGGTTGGAGGGAGGAGGTAAAGGAGGTTTTGTGGGCGAGGGGCTTGGACTTCCAGCAAGTGTGCGTGAGCGTGTTAGACAGGAGTAAATGGAGACGAATGGTTTTTGGGACCTGACTAGCTGTTGGAGTGTGAGCAGGGTAATTTTTTGTGAAGGGATTCAGGGAAACCGGTAAGCCGGGCTGAGTCCTGGAAATAGGAAGTACAATGCCTTCACTTTAGCACTTTAACGGTGAGGTTTGGGATATTGACAGTTGGGAGGGGCATCTAAACTGTCGTATCTGAGTACCTCTTCAAACACAGCGGTTATGTATGAATGATGGTAAGTGTTGACTGATGAAGTTTTTTCTTTCTTTTTTGGGGTTTTCTTTTTGGGTTACACTACCTCGATGGAAAACGCCCAAAGTGTTATATATATATATATATATATATATATATATATATATATATATATATATATATATATATATATATATATATATATATATATCGTGCCGAATAGGCAGAACTTGCGATCTTGGCTTAAATAGCAACGCTCATCTTGCCATATAGGACAAGTGTAAATTTGTGTATGCAATAATTTCGCCAAAATCATTCTGAACCTAACGAAAAAAATATATTTCACTGTGTTTGTTTAGTATTAAATTATTGTAAACAAATCTAAAATATATTTAGTTGGGTTAGGCTAAAATAAATTGTTCTTGTTATAATAAGGTTAGGTAAGTTTCTTAAGATTTTTTGGTGCAAAATTAAAAATGTTTACATTAACATTAATGAAAAAAATATATCTTTAAACGTATAAGAATTTTTTTTAGAAAGGACTTAATTTTAAATGAGTTCTTGCTAATTGACCAGTTTTACATATTCGGCCTCATGGTTGATCAGGGCCTGATCAACCAGGCTGTTACTGCTGGCTGCACGCAATCCAACGTACGAACCACAACCCGGCTGATCAGGTACTGACTTCAGGTACCTGTCCAGCGCCTGCTTGAAGACAGCCAGGGGTCTATTGGCAATCCCCCTGATGTATGCTGGGAGGCAGTTGAACAGTCTTGGGCCCCTGACACTTAGTGTTCTCTTATCATACTAGTGGCACCCCTGCTTTTCATTGGGAGGATGTTGCACCGTCTGCAGAGTCTTTTTCTTTCGTAGGGAGTGATTTTCGTGTGCAAGTTTGGTACTAGTCCCTCTAGGATTTTCCAGATGTATATCATCATGTATTTCTCCCTCCTGCGTTCTAGGGAGTACAGGTTTAGGAACTTCAAGCGTTCCCAGTAACTGAGGTGGTTTATCGCAGTTATGCGTGCCGTGTACATTTTCTAGGTGAGCAATTTTACCTGCCTTGAAAGGTGCTGTTAGTGTGCAATATTTCAGCCTAGATAGAACAAGCGACCTGAAGTGTCATCACGTTCTTGGCATCCCTGGTTATGAAGGTTCTCATTATCCATCCTGTCATTTCTCTAGCAGATGCGACTGATACTAATGTCCTTGACATTAGTTTTTCGCTCTATTGTGTGGTTGGAATAGGTAAACTGGTCAATTAGCAAGAACTCGTTTAAAATTTTCTCTTATACGTTTAAAGATATATATTTTTTCATTAATGTTAATGTAAAAATTAATAATTTTGTACCAAAAGAACCTTAGAAAACTTACCTAAATTTATTATAACAAGCGCAATTTAAATTAGCCTAATCCAACTAAATATGTTTTATGTAAGTTTACAATAATTTAATAATAAACAATGAAATATATTTTCTCGTTATTTTCAGATTTTTGCGAAATTATAGCATACACAAATTTTAGCTTGCCTTATTCGGCAAGAAGAGCATTGCTATTTAAGCCAAAATCGCAAGTTTTACCTATTCGGCATGATATATATATAATATATAATATATATATATATTATATATATATATGAGAGAGAGAGAGAGAGAGAGAGAGAGAGAGGAGGAAGAGAGAGAGAGAGAGAAGAGAGAGAGGAGAGAGAGAGAGAGAGAGAGAGAGAGAGAGAGAGAGAGAGAGTGCATTTTTTATTGTAACTGCTTACCTGTTTTTAACTTTTAAACATTAATAATTATCACAAGGACCCCAAGGGAAATATTGCTTTTTTTGTTACCCTGGTTCCTACATTATGGTGAGATGTATGATATTCTATGTAATTGTGTATTCTTGAATAAACTTACTTAAGAGCGCGAGGGAGAGTAAAAGATGGAGAGCAAGAGAGCGAGAGCCCGTGTGGATTCATGTGTGTAGGGTGTGGTTATGAACAAGGGGCGTTGTCTTTGATAAGGTAACGGAGAGCTTTCAAATTTGCAAGAATACAATGAACATTAAAATCCCAATGCAACTTTGAATATATATACATATTCTTTCTTCTTTCAACGTACCAGCCGTATCCCACTGAGGTGGGGTGGCCCAAAAGGAAAAACGAAAGTTTCTCCTTTTAAATTTAGTAATATATACAGGAGAAGGGATTACTAGCCCCTTGCTCCCGGCATTTTAGTCGCCTCTTACGACACGCATGGCTTACGGAGGGTATTCTGTTCCACCTCCCCATAATATAATAAAATATAATAAATAATATATATATATAATATTATATAATATAATATATATATATAATATATATATATATATTTTATATATAACTAATGTAAAAGTAAAAAAAAAAAGCAACATATTACTCACTCACATCTGAAATATTTCGAGAATATGGAGTCAAATTTCTATCCTAAAAAGTTTTTTCAATATTTATGGGGAGCGCTAAACCCGTAGGGTTCACAGGAAGCGTTAAACTTATGGGCCAGTGAAGTGCTAAACTCGTGAGGGGTCACGGGGTAGAGAGCACTAAACTCTTAGGAATCATATTACAGAGCCTGGGAATGGAAGTTATGGACAAGTATGTTTACCTCTTATTCAGTATAGAGCATACAGCAAAAAGAGTTGTAAATATCCAAATATATCTCATGGTTTCGAAAAAAAATCGATTTAGATTTTTGCCGACAGTACCAAGAGAACATATGGAAACACGAAAGACCTTAGAGCTAGGCACCAAAAAGAGTCAATAGGAATATAAATGAATACATTAACAACTTCTACCCCTACATTCCTCAATAAGTGGACCAACAAGCGAAAAAGTCATATTTGAAATACAGTACTGAAAATATGAGCCTGGCGTCTCTTCCCAAAGGAAAATCATTTTAGAAAGACGTATGTTCGTCTCTTCCTTTATTACCATATTAGAGAAAAATGTCACAAGCCAATAGTAAATATATATAAAAAAAATACTTCCAAAAATACAGAGAAATTTTCCGTGACGTACAAGTAACCGCAGTTACTCGGCCTGGATGACTCATGCTTCTCTTGGGTCAAGCAAGAGTCTATCATAATACAAGAACTTATAACAAAGCTCCAAACGGTAATCTATAATTTTAATCTGACAACGTCTGTAAAGAAGGAATATAGCAATAAAAAGAGTAGAAAAGAGCACAAAATGCTTACAGTGTTGGTGAGGAGTGAGTGATGTAGCTGCCAGCTGAGCTCCAGGTAAACAACTGCGACCAGCTGGAGCAGCGAGACACTGTTGCCAGATCTGTGTATAACACCTCTCCTTGCAACGTGTCATATGCATTACTATTACACTCAAAGGTGTAGCGCTAAACTCTTAAGGGTTATAGTCTAGCATGGTGGAAGGCAATCAAGCTGGATCCAAGGGAAGGGAGTGGTAGTCCTAATTACTTGGATCAAGAACATCTCACCTGCTTTGAGCTGCCAACGTCAAAAATTCCAAATTTTCCTAATATTAAGTCTTACACCACATTATGTAATGAATATAGTGATTACCCTTCAGGCTACTTGTATTTCTCATGGGGTTAGATTTGGTCTGCGGTCGCTATCTAAAATCTTAGAAATATTGATCGCCAGGTGCCACAATGCATTCTGTTCCTTCCTACCTGGCACTCACACCTCTACATATTTTCTCTATATTATTATATTTAGTGGTAAGCACTAAACCCATAAAGGTCATACAGTGCCTAGGTGAGTAGAAGGTAATCAGATTAAATCCAAGGAAATGGAGGGTAATTCCAATTCCTGGGATCAAGAGCTCTTCACTGGCATCAAAGCACCTTCCTTGAAGTGTACTTTATAGATATTTTTATTTTACCATTCTTAAATTTTACATCTATTATCAATATAATATTCATCCTTAAATGTCCCCTTCTAGAGAGGAGCATTGATGACGAAGGGTTCTTAATCCATGGAGTTTGAGCTACCTTCCCCCTGCTTGGATCAAACCTCATTAATTATTTCCCAGACGCTGAATACCCTTACGGATTTTGCGCTTCTCCATGACTATAATATAATAATTCGTAATTGCTGTAAACATCTTGAGACATGACCGTAACATGCTTGCACGTAAATATTTAAGTTTATTCAAATTATAGACCCTATCAGCATAACTTCAATCGTGGGGAAGTTGATGGAATCAATAACTGCTGATGCAATTCTATATAATTTGATCAACGAATCTCAGCACAGTTTTACAAATAATCGTTCTAGCTAATCATTCTCACTAAGGCTCTGGTGCCTGGTGGTTAACGCTCTCGCTTCACACGGTGAGGGCCTGGGTTCGATTCCCAGCCAGAATAGAAACATTGGACGTGTTTCTTTCCACCTGTTGTCTATGTTCCCCATCAGTAAAATGGGTACCTGGGTGTTAGTCGACTGGTGTGGGTCGCATCCTGGGACACTGACCTAAGGAGGCCTGGTCACAGACCGGGCCGCGGGGGCGTTGACCCCCGGAACTCTCTCCAGGTAAACTCCAGGTAAGGTATTCGAGGTGGTAGACCAAGATAAAGAATGCGATATTATGTATATGGACTACAGCCAGGCTTTTTTGATAGCGTTCCACACAAAAGATTGAATTAAGAAATTAGCGGCACATGAAATAGAAGAAATTAACTCCTTGGTCAAGGTTAGGTTAGGTAAGGTTCGTCAGGAAACAGTACATGTGTTTCCCGTCGCGGGTCTTAGTCATATGATAATCCGCCGCTGGAGCTTTTGGTCATCTGACCGAGGCCTTCCGCTGGCTTACCGGTCCACCCCTTTAAAAATTAAGAGTTCTAAGTTGTGTTTCTGGGTCAAGGGATGGCTGGCCGATAGGCAACAGTTTCATTAATAAGGAGAAATCTGAATGGGCACCTGTTACAAGTGGTGTGCCACAGGGGACAGTCTTGGGACTTTGTTGCTCACAGTCTACATGACCTACACTGATGAGCAAATAAACAGTGACACAAGTAAGTTTGGCAATGATACTAAATTAAGCTGTCAAACATTTTCTGATGTGGACACTGGATTACAAGATGACCAGGATAGGTTAATGTTGTGGTCGGAGAAGTGGAAGATGCAGTTCAATGCAGACAAGTTTAAAGTTCTAATTCTAGGAAAGGAAATAACTATGGCACTTACAAGCTAAACAATATAGCTCTTAGTCAAAGTGAGTGCGAAAAGATCTAGGAGATCTGGTTAGTAGAAATTTAATGCCAAGACAACAATGCATAAGTGTTCACAATAGAGCAAACAGAATTCTTGGTTTAATATCAAAAAGTGTAAATATTAAAGGTCCTATGGTTATAGGTTATACTTTAACTAAGCAGCGGGTTGAAAATGTCTAACCAAGATAGGACTCACAACAATGGATTCAGGTTGGAAAAACTTAAGATTTAGAAAGGATATTATGGAGTATTTATTTGATAATAAAGTTATAAATGAGTGGAACAAACTCCCAGTAGATAGCGTCATTGACGCAAGAATTGTGGGTAGCTTTAATATAGGTTGGACGGATATTTCAGTTGGTGTGGGTGGGTGAAAGTTGAACCTGCTTAGCATCGACCTCATAGACTTCTTGTGAGTGTCCCGTAGTTCGGTTGCTAGCATACTCAGCTCACACACTGAGGTCGTCCGGGGGGTCGATCTCCGGTATTGGTAGAAACATTAGGACGTGTTTCCTTAAGCCATCTGCTGTCCATGTTTACCTATCAGTAAAACAAGTACCTGGGTGTTAGCCGACTGGTGTGGGTCGCATCATGTAAACAAAATTGACCTAATTTGCCCGAAATACATAACAAGGGGTTTTCTGTCTAGTAGTATGTCACTGATGTCAGTTAGGCCAGTATACCCTGTACTTGTACTTGTAGAAATAAAGATTAGTATTATTATAATGTTCTTTACCTGGGAGTTAGCCTGGTGTTGTAGGTCGTATTCTCGGGAAGAGGTAAATCCAAAGGAAAACCAATCAAAGACTGGGTTTTCTTGGTTACTACCCATCCTGGGTAATAATCCGCAAAAAGTAGTCTTCTAAGTTTTTTAAATAAATGTAGAAGTTTTCTTATTCGAAGCTATTGTTTTTAATAGATGAGCAAGTTTTCTATATACTCAAGAAAAGCCCTTTTATAAAATCTCATTAAATGAAGTAAAATAGAAAAATGAAATTTGTTAAGCGTAGACTAATGTGAATAAAATATTTTGTCATAGCTGAAAGACTGTTGAAATAATTAACCCCGAAAGAAATAACAGCTCATTATAACCCAAGAAAGCCACGGGGTGTGGCTTATTTCTGTTAGGGTTATTAGGTTCCCTGATCACCTAAAAGGCTAACTTCATGGGTACTACTGCTTCGGTAACCAGGGTAGCAAGTGTTAGGAAATTTGTCAAACGTCTTTCCATTTCGTCCAAGCTTGCATAAGGGAAGCACTTAACACGTAGGTTCATACTGCCCCGGGAGACTGGAGGGACATTGGTTCATTAACAAAGTGGGCACAGGTTCCCGAGCTGTTGGTTACCGCACTTACGCTCACACATTGAGATCCGGGTTATGAAATAAGATTCTTTGAGGGATTTTAACCTGGATGGTTAATTTACCTAGGATGATCAAAACTCAGTGCGTTCATGAGGACGGGTTCTGCTTATTTTTCCATTGGGGTTCTTAAATCTTGTCCCCCAGGATACGACCCACACTAGTACACTAGCACCCAGATACCTACTTGCTCGTTAGGTGAACGGGGACAACAGCTATAAGAAAACATGCCCAATGTTTCCACCCTTTCCGAGGATCGAACCACGGACACTCAGTGTATGAAGCCAGAGCGTTGCCTACCAGGTCCCTCACCAGTATCAAGGGCCCTCCCTCCCCTGAACTAGGGTCTTCATGGTTATCAGCCAAACATTCTAGGGATTGTTAATCAAGAGGGGCTAGTATTCCAGGATGTTACCCCCCCCCCCCCCCGAAAAAAGCCAAGAAGTTTGGTTTATTTCCACTGGGACCCCAGCGAAAATAAGTCACTTTTTTTTTTGGGGGGGGGGGGGTTATTCTAGGTAATTTACATATGTTAGTAACTATGTATGACAATTGTATTTATGTATACCTGTGTCTAAATAAACTTAGTGTTTTTTCCAGGATGCGACTCACAACAGTAACTGCCAGGTACCTATTTACTGCTCAGTGAACAGGGGCAACACGAGTTTTATAATAATAATAATAATAATAATAGTAATAATATTTATTTTTTTACAAGTATGTACAATGTATACAGGCCTAGCTGACATCAATGACCAGTGGCGGATCTACATTTTTAGAGCCCTGAAGCTTGAACTGTTATGGGAGACCCCTTCGCAACCCCTTCTCAAACAACAGATCAGTGCCGGATTTAGATGAAGAGAGGCCCTAGGATATTCCATTTGTGAGGCCCCACCTCAGTCCCCCATTCTCACCACTGGAGGATAATGGTAGAGGGTTTTAAACAAAATCAGCGAAGCTGAGGATGATGACGGGTGTTTGAAACTCCGCAATTCACAATTTCTCTAAAGGACAAAAGATGTTATTGTTAAATACCGTAGTGATTGAAAAAAAAACATAAATATTAAAATTAACACTGTGAAAAACTTTTGCAATAATCGAACTTCGTAAACATTTTGTGGAATAAGCAGGAATTTTTAGGAAAATGAAATTGTAAGTTTACTATTCTTAAAATACATAAACTCTTTTAAAATACATATTAAGAAATAAAGAAACTAGTCATCACATACACTCAAAAAAAGTTTTTACTAGGTTTCCTCATAGCAAAATCATCCAAAACTTCATTAAAATTTTTTTGTCTAAGTTTGTCACTTTCAATGTACAGAATGTTGAGTGTGGACGACCTCTCTGGAGACATTGTGGCCCTTAATTCATTTTAATTCTTTTGAGGCTTGAAAAAGACTTCTCTCCCGAGCAGTTAGTGACCATTAAGCTAAGAAATAGCCGCAAGACTAAAGTGAGTTATGACAACATATGTAAGGCCTATGACAGTGTCAAAAATATTATACACCTTGGCCGGAGGCTTCCTAAATTTCGTGGCCCTAGGCTTCAGCCTGCCAAGCCTATAGGTAAATCCGGTACTGCAGTATACCAAAATTTTAAAGCAATGTGGACTAAAGTCGCTTTTGGGGTCCCTCAGGGATTAGGCGCCCTGAAGCTTAAGATTTATATGGATCCGTCCCTGCCAATGACATCCTACTGTAAAGGAAGTACTTTGTTATGCAAAGCATTTCAAGCAAATTAGGTCAATTTTGTCTCCAGGATGTGACCCACACCAGTCGACTGACTGGTGTGAACAGGGACAGAAGGCATCGTAACGAAACACGTCCTAGTTTCCAACCGTACCGGGGATCGAACCACGGACCTCAGTGTGTGTTAGGGCGCTATGTGATAATGGATAACTGTCCTCATCCCTTCTGCCCAGGACCAGAATTTTACGAAGGAGTTAATATCCTCACTAATATTAATTAATATACAGATCAATTACAGGCCAAGAGCTGTTATCCTACCTCAGCTCATTTCAAAGCCCTGCTCTAAGGTATACTACCATCCCCCAGGATGCCACCCACACCAGTCGACTAACACCCAGGTACCTACTTACTGCTAGGTGAATAGGGGAAGCAGGTGTAAACTCCCAACGTTTCCACCCGGCCGGGAATCGAACCACGGACACTCGGTATGCGAGCCTAGCGCGCTACCAACCAAGCCACGGGTTGGTAACTCCCCCCCCCCCAATGGGGGGGAGCAAGATTCTATCCTAGGAAGACAAGAAGAAATTTAATTCCTGTGATAAAAAGCTCCTTTGGTGCAGCAAGGAACCTTCCCTAAAAGAAACATATACAATTATTAAAAACACATATAATTATTAAAAACATATACAATTATATTATAAACATATACAATTATATTAAAAACATATACAATTATATTAAAAACATATACAATTATATTAAAACATATATAATTATTAAAAACATATACAATTATATTAAAAACATATACAATTATATTAAAAACATATACAATTATTAAAAACATATACAATTATTAAAAACATAGAATTATTAAAAACATATACAATTATTAAAAACATACAACTATTAAAAACATATACAATTATTAAAAACATACAATTATTAAAAACATATACAATTATTAAAAACATACAATTATTAAAAACATACAATTATTAAAAACATATACAATTATTAAAAGTTAAAAAATACTTTGCTATTCATTTAAACCCCATTATTATTTAATAATAAAATATAATAAAATGTAATAATGATAAATTAGTATTTATTACCATATCCGTAGGAAAGCGCTAAACCCGTACAATTTATTCAACGGCTGGGAAATTGGAACTTACCTAGTTCGAACCACGGGCAGCTCCAATACCCTGGATCAAGATCCCTTCACCATCACCAAGGATGGAACGTGAGAAATATTACCCGAGGTGAGTAATGGACGGGTCATTAAGAAGCGCTAAGCCCGCAGGGGTCACGCATCGCCCGTGGAATGGCTAGCCATGGTCGATCCTACGTGGTGCGTGGCTCCAGTTCCTTGGATCAAGAGCTCTTGGAGGGGGGGGAGGCGGAGTTTGGGTGTCACAGTCTGGCACTGACGATATTGATGTTCAGATACTCACCCACTGCCAAGGAAGTGAGGTGCCGCTGTTTACACAGGTGCCGCTTTTTACACAGGTGAGGTGCCGTTGTTTACACAGTTGCCGCTGTTTACATAGGTGAGGTGCCGCTGTTTACATAGGTGCCGTCTACACAGGTGCCGCTGTTTACACAGGTGCCGCTGTTTACATAGGTGCCGCTGTTTACACAGGTGCTGCTGTTTACATAGGTGCCGCTGTTTACACAGGTGACACGCCACTGTTTACATGCAGGCGAGGCTCTGTTGTCTACACACAGGTGACGTGCCCCTGTTTACACAGGTTAGGTCCTGTTGTCTACACATAGGTAAAATTCTGTTGTCTATACACGTATGAGATTCTGTTCACACACAGGTGAGATCTTGTCTACACAGGTGAGATCTTGTCTACACACAGAAGAAGTCCTGGTTATTTTTCCGAGTTGTGTAGTAGTAGTAGTATTATAATCAAAGAAAGCGCTAAACCGACAAGGGTAATTGTGTAGTAGATCAGTTCACCAACAGCTTAGCTGATCAAAGACCGGGGCCGCCATGGTAGATCTTTTTTCCCGTTGAGAGTCTGTTGGTTCCCACCTCAGTGGGGCAGCGGGCCTCCAGCAGCAACAACCTGGTTGACCATTATTTTAATCATTGGGGAGCGCTAAACCCGTAGGATAATACATCGCCTGTGGGGGGATGTGAAAGGTATTCAGGTTCAATTCAGGAAACTGGAACACAGATTCAATTCCCTAGATCAAGAGCCCCTCACCAGCGTCAAGGAACATCTGAGGGGCCGCCTGGTTGACCAGGCAAGCACCAGACGAGCCTGGTTCATGGCCGGGCTCCGAGAGTACTAAGACTCAAAACTCTTCGAAAGAAGATTTTTTTTCTAAATCGGTTGGTTTCAACGGTCGTACTGTTGACAACAGTGGATGAAGGACACAATTTAGAACTAGCCTCTAACGCGGAATTAGACAACACACGTGCAGCACTTGTCATATTTATTTGAAGACGTTACGTCCACCCGTGGCTTCATCAACTCAATACAAAAATGGTACGTGAAGACAGTTGATGAGGTAATCAGTCCCTCAACCTTGTTCTGCAACAAAATTATTTTCTTCGCATACCGTTACTGAAGACAGCCAGATCTGGGCTTGAGGTTATATGTGTGTCATCAACTGTAAAGAGAAAATATATTTTTTTAAGTTGTTGGGTGGTGTGTGATAGGTCATTGACACTCGCTGGCGTTCAAAGCATTTTTGACAAGATTCCCAGCAGAGTATTTACAGTCCTGGGCCATTATGGTGGGTCAATGACACTCGCTGAGGTTAAGAATACTCTTGACAAGATTCCCCAGTAGAGAGTATTTGCAGTCTTGGCCCAGTATGGTGGGTCTATGACACTCGCTAAGATAAGAATATTCTTGACAAGATTCCCCAGTAAAGTATTTACAGTCTTGGCCCAATATAATAGCCACTGTTAGTAAATATCACAGTCAAATACTGCGAAATGATGCCAACTATAGAAAAATACCCGCCTTTTTAAAACGTTCGAATCTCGTTTCGGAAAAGTTGAGTAAAAAAACAGCGTCAGTCAATATATAGTTGTATTGTAATCACTAATTATTATTATTATAATCAAAAAGAAGCGCTAAGCCACAAGGGCTATACAGCGCTGCTGTAATCACTAAATGTAAAGTAAAAGGACACAAGTGCAACTAATGTGACATTTATTGTGGCAACGTTTCGCTCTCCAGGAGCTTTATCAAGCCAAGCTTTATCAAGGCTTGATAAAGCTCCTGGAGAGCGAAACGTTGCCACAATAAATGTCACATTAGTTGCACTTGTGTCCTTTTACTTTACATATTGTCGGTAATTCTACCAACTTGATTACAATCACTAAATGGCTGGTGGCATGACTCTCGGTGTAGACCTCCACGATAACTATCAGTCACGTGCAACACTTGTGTTGGAGTAGGTTTTTATACTCTACCTCCAGCGTAATTATCTTCAGGTGGACATTATAAGAGAAATTATGATTATGGTGTTTCTATTTTTCTTTTTTTCTTTTTTTGGCTGTCTTCGAGGTAAGTGCTCCGGAAGATGTTAAAACTGATTAGTAATTTTATATTTTGTTATCCTGTCTTGCCTATATACACTGGCTCCCTTACTCTTGTGCGTTAGTTATCTAACATGGTTATACTCATAACCATAATTTTTAAAGGGGTGGACCAGTAAGCCAGCGGAAGGCCTCAGTCAAATGACCAAAAACTCCAGCTGTGGGTCATCATATGGCTAAGACCCGCGCCAGGAAACACTTGTCCTCTTTCCTGACAAACGTTATACCTACCATCTTGTGGGTTAGTGTGACTATGTAAATGGTCCAAGTCGGACCGAAACGTCGTCCTAAGCTTCTCTCTCCCGGGTTATTCGTGTATTGTTCTACTCACGGTATTGTGCCATTTTGTTCTACACCAGTAGATGATAAGCCGTCAATAGCTCTTCTATCATATTTCTGTAATCACTGTGATGACTGCCCAAGAAACCTGCACAAGTGCTCTTGAACGCCACCTAAGAGGATCAGTTACTAACTTCAGAATTTGAGGTCCGACGAAGATACCTTCTTTCCGCTTGGCATCAATAACTTTGGAAAGCCTCTCCTTCAGATAAGTCATACCCAGCTGCTTCTTTGTCCGAAGCTTTGACGAAGTTTTTAATGAAGCCTAGCTTGATGTGAAAAGGCGGAAGAAGTATGTCTTTTGGATCGACTAATGGCCTCTGTTGAAAGTTCTTCACGCCTGCCTCATCCGAACATTGAAAGTATTGCTGCGTTGTATTTCGACTGTCCCACAGGCACAGGAAATACTAATACTTTGTAAATCTACTCTGCAGTTCCAATAATAAATCTATTATTTTTAGGCCACCACCGATTTTCCACCCATATTTCTCATTTTCAGTGACAAAGCTTTAGCATTATATATATTTCTAACGAGAGCTAAAGACAAACTTGGTAAGGTGTTGTCATTGAGATGCAAAACTGCCTCTACACTTATATTGCTGGAATCAATACACAAAAGCCACACTGCAGGATTACGATGTTTGCTGAAAACATCGGAAAGGCCATTAACATCACAAGAGTAACATGGATTCTTCCAGTTTAAAGTAACTTTCTAGGCTTTTATGTCGCTGTTTGAACAAACAAGCTTGAGTCAGGATGTAATAATAATAATATACTTATTTCTACAAGTACATGTACAAGGTATACAGACCAAAGCGGACATCAATGACATACTACTATATAGAAAGCCGCTTCTTATGCAGAGCATTTCGGGCAAATTAGGTCAGTTTTGTCCCAGGATGCGACCCACACCAGTGGACTAACACCCAGGTACCCATTTTACTGATAGGTGAACACAGACAACCGGTGTAAAAACACGTCCAATGTTTCTACCCCTTCGTCAGGAATCGGACCCGGATCCTCGCCGTGTGAAACAAGAGCTTTTGCCACCAGGTCACAGGGTACCGTAGCTAATTTCACTGGCGTAATCTTGAACCAAGTACCTCTGACTGTCCCTTGGATAAATCAAGATGGCGCACAAGATCGCTAAGGTTACAGAGCCACTATTATTATTATTATTATAATAAAAAAGAAGCGCTAAGCCACAAGGGCTATACAGCGCTGTACAGAGCCACTAGATGTGGTTCCTGGATGACTCCAAATCAGTTCAAACACGGAATGTGAGTTAGTAACTTCTTCATTAGCCAAGGGATGGTGGTACTGGAACAGGGAGTTCCTCTGAATGTTTCACCGGTCTGATTGCAGAAGGAAGATCTGGATATGTTATTTTGGACTTACTTTTTGATGAAAATTCCGACACTTGTGATCCAGAAATAATCCGTGATGTGATCCAATGGTTCCTCCATACCATCGGGACTGCAAATAGCAAGCATGAATTCCTTCCAGCAAACCACTCACTAAGGAATTGGAACAAGTCACACAACAACATTGAGGCGCCCACAGCTTGTGCTGGTCTCCCACCTTCACACCAAAGTCGCAAAAAGACGCTGTTTTCACTAAGTGATTCGCCTTTGTTTCGTCAGAGTAAGTCTGCCACATATATAAAAACATTACTGTTGTTTCAGCACTCAGGAGGCACTGTAGACTTGTAACTTGACTGTTGAAAATACGACTTATTCTGAAAAAAAAGAGAAAACATACACTCCATTATCAATAAAACAATTTCACAAATCCACAAAACCATAAATTATCTGCCATAACACGACCAAGCACTCATTATGCAATAATATGTTTGAAGACTAATTGGGGTGAGCGTGGGGTTCTGTTTCACAGAACTGTACGTGCCGGAGCACATGTATTTAAACGTGAACCGAAACCATTGTTAAGCAGTGTATAATAAGTAGGTATGATATGTGGAGAGTCTTCGCTTTCTACTTTTTCGTTGTTTCTTGCTATGTGTTGTTTTGGTGTTACTGTTGCTCTGCTTCCTCCTTCTTCTTCATGGTCGTCACACTAAGCATTACCGCTTTCAAGATTTTTTTTGTCTTAATTCAGTCATTACTCGTAGTATTATAAGTCCATAAGTTCAGATTCCACATATCACATATTGCTTAACTTAGTAAACGTGTAATGGTCATACAACGCCTGTGGTATGCTAGGTAATCAGGTTTGATCCGGGGACCAAGTGGGCAGCTCCAAGTCCTTGGATAAAGGGCTATTCAGTGGCATTAAGACTGTAAAAAATTCAGTGAGCTTTGCAGACCTATGTAGAAGCGTTCAGGTTGGTGGTGTGACAACATACAGTTCCGTGACTTAGAGAACCGTGGTTTTGTATGTGTACTCACCTATATGTGGTTACAGGGGTCGATTCACGGCTCCTAGTGTGTGTGTGTGTATTCACCTATTTGTACACACCTATTTGTGGTTGCAGGGGTAGAGACAGCTCCTGGCCCCACCTCTTCACTGATCGCTACTAGGTCCTCTCTGTCCCTACTCCATGAGCTTTATCATACCTCGTCTTAAAACTATGTATGGTTCCTGCCGC